CGGACGGGCTGGAGTGCTGGCTGTGCACCAACAGAGCTGTGGCGTAGGGAGTTTCTTACCGAGAATCGTGAGGAAGTTAGGCGGCTTGTGATAGAGCTGTTGGGCGGTTTTAAGTACGGCTTAAAAGCGATTGTATTGGTGGCTTGCTTATCATTAGCTCGCTAGTTCATTTCCATGAAGGGAATTAGTACCCATGGCCTCTAGCAAATAATCACTTAGGCTACTCTGCCCTGTAGCAGGCTTGCGCACGGAATGGAGTATGAAAGATATTATTATTATTATTATTATTATTATTATTATTATTATTATTATTATTATTATTAATATTATTATTATTTTTTTTATTATTATTATTGTTATTATAATTATTATATTATTATTATTATTATTATTTTTATTATATTATTATTATTACTCCACGAAGAGATTGTCGTGGCGTCTCGTTCAGATCGAACTTCGAGGGCACGTTACAAGTGGCTAAAAAAGACACGAGAGGATAAAAACAGATTACGGTATTGAGCAATGCTGGCCTCTGGCATGCATCCCCACTAAAACAAGCTTTCTTGAAAATATTTGGTACCGTATTCCCTAGAAACTATTTTCATTCACAATAGATTCTTCCCTCAAAATTTTACTATATCAGCTAATTCGGTTTCATTTTGATAATACGCGTAACCTCCGTTCGGAGGTAAAATTTTCATAAATCATAATATCAGGTCATAAGAGAAGTATTGAATCTTGCCACATAGCCAAGCGTTTTTTGAAGTCTTTTCCTGTCCTATAAGACTTTCATGCGGAAGATTTTTCCTCGTATGCACGATTGCTTTCCTCTTACTGCAACGTCGAGGAGGAAGGCTTCGATATCGTCGTCCTCACTCTTCTTTGCGAACCCAAGACATTAACACATTATTCTAGTTAACATAGAAAAAAAATTTATAAACCGAAGTAAATTAGGATTGAAGTATCATATACGGAGCTGGAGAGATAAATTTATTCGATTATGAAGCAGCACCACAATCCTGCTACTGAGGCGATCGAATTTGTTCAATAGATCATATACAGTGAAGGGCATCCTGCTTCTATCATGAGTTTCGTTCTTCTTACTTATTAGCTTTTACAATCATGATCAGTTCGTCAAACTGATGAATTCCAACTTAGTGCCGTAAGTCTATGAAGGAACGCGCTTCCTATTGGCCTCCAAGTCCAAATATTATTGTGAAAATTTAGAGATACTCGTACAAACATTTCCTCCAGTGGAAAAATAAAATGATACCGGAATTGGATTTTCTGCGGTTTTCATGATACTTTGAAGCTTTACTTAAAATTATTGATTAACCTAAATTAGAGAAGTATTACGGTAATTTCTCTCTGGCAGGTGGTTCCTATGAAATAAAAATGTATGATTCTTCATTCACATTTCAATTTTTCATTTCCTTCACAATCAATAATTGCACCAGCTTCTTTAATTTCTGTTCATTTCGTTCTAAATTCAATTTGATTCAAAGACTAATACACCGCGGCGTTCGTAATTGCTCATACTTCCAGGTCATGCACTCAGAATTGGAATTTTCCGCAATACCTCCTCACTCAATGGGTTTCCGTCACACCTGGTGTTTACTCAAATTAAAAAATCCATATCTAAACAATATGCTGAGGTTGTAATAGAAACGTGGTTTATTGTTCATTCCCAGACTTAAGCCCAGCATTTGAAACTATGTCAACAAAGTTGAAAGTTTGATCCATGAAGTAGTTTCCATAAGTCAATTTCCGGATATTCATGGTGAAAATTTTTAAGATCAGCTCAGGTATAGACCAGTTTTCCTCAGGTATAAGAGACACCCCATGACTTACCCGTGGTACCGACGCATGCACAGAATCCCTTTTTATTTTCAAATATAAGTCAAGCTTAAATTTGGCAATCAGCTCCCATCCCCTTCAGATTGTTAGCAGATGGGCCAGTTTTGTTGTCTTATTTCTGGTTGATTTATCTTTTATTTGTCAATTTTAAGTTAAAATATCTGCTTTTTAATTCAAGATAATAAATAAAATTATTGTATTCACCTTCTAGGTTTGTCGAACTGACGATGGAGCTGGACTCCGAAACGTTTTACTTTATAAAGACATGGTGAATTTCTGTCCCATCTTTTTGTTTTTAATTTCATGTATATGCTTGATCAAGCATATTATTTATCGTAAACGGTGTGTTCAACTGAAATTCCTCCCACTTATCATAATTCCTTTCGCTTTCATTCCTCTCGCAAAAATTGTCTCAAGCTTTCGTAATTTTTTACGGAACATGAATATTTTCTATTACCTTTGAAATTTTACCTGTCAAAGTCTCTATAAATGTTTTGCAAAGCACTTTAGCCAAAAAATTTCAGCAGTTACAATAATTTTGGCAATTGAAGTTTCGCGGTCTTATGTGAGTAACTTCACCAAGTTCATAAGTTGCATTTATCCAACGAATACCACCAGCTTGGCTTTGTCTCGTATTGTTAATTGGATTCAAATAGTTTTCATGGTCTTAATTGTTGCGTAGCTACTTGCATGTTCATAACAATTTATTGCAAAATTTTCACTTAATCTGTTATCTTTCAGGAAAGAAATTCAGAAGTATGTTAACACGAAGTAAGCTAGAGGACTTAATCTTCAAGCTAATGGTGATCACAACTGCTGCTCAGGTTCTGACGGTGTTGATGAGTCACGATGGACATGTTCATTCTCGAGCCAGCTCCGCAGTTCAAGGTTTCCAAATACATGAGCAGATAGAGTGATTTATCTCGTAGAGTGATTTCTTTACCTGATAAAAATCAACACCTAGGTACTCAATTTAATTTGTAAAATATCAAATATGCATCTTTTTCAATATGTATAATATTATACATAATATATCCTCATTTTAATTTTTTCGTCCGAATTCAGATGTTTTCCGACATTCCCACATGTTTGATAAATTTATTGGAAGGAAATCGGACGTTTTTAGCCTATTGAGCTGTTAATTTAACTTGGTTAAAATGCAAATAATACTTTTTAACTCACATTTTAGAGTTAATTGAATAAACATTGACAGAGTTAATTGATCGAACTCATTTCATTCCCATTTTTTTAACAGGACACGTCGAAAATCATGGATTTTTAGCACGGAACCTACAAAATTTGACTGTAAAGAACAGTGATCTCTCAAACTCCTGGAATACTTGCCAAAACAAGGTAAGACAATTCTCATCCTACAAAGCAAATTATAAATTTTTTATGTTCTTTAGTTGAAGCAAACAATTTTTTACGGATCAATGAGGCAATATTTCACATCTTATGGCAAGCAGAAAAATGCATCAAAGGGAGATTAACTGCTTAGCACATGTTTTAAGAGCGTATTTATCTCGTTGAAGAATAAAACCCTTCAAGGCTTATACTTTTACAGCTTTTCAGTAAATCAGCTTTTCGTTTTTTGGTAGCAAAGTTTCTGGTACTTTTTTCTGAGTTATCACAGCGCTACCAAATTGTTCTGTGGTGAATATTGCTGGTATCAGGGTCTTAAATCCTAATTACTGGAAAATAACTACGAAAGTTCATGAGTCTAGATTTTACCCCCTGGATTTTAACAAGCTCTGCCTGTTTCAGCTAAATAAATTGTAAAAATAAGTATGAATAATGTTCATTTTCGCTAAAATTTGTCTACGAAATCACTGAAAACTTTTTAAACATTAGTATTCTGTCCAATCAAGCCTTCAATGGTGAAAGGGAAATTTCTTTCAGAGAGCACTAGAAATAAATTTCAGAGAGCGCTAATAAATCAATTCTCGTTAACATAACTCTCCAAAAAATAACTCCATAATAAAATATCCTAAGATCAAGTAAGGCTTTAACCATGGAAGTCCACTTGATTACAGGTGTAGAGCGTAAATATTCGATCACCTCAATAATTTTTGTGAATGTATCTCTATAGATAGACGAACTCGAACGACGCCTGGCAAGCATTTCGAACGCCCTTGAGCGTCTGTGGTGTGCTACCAAAGATGTCATGAGCAACGGTGGATTTTGCGTCACTGCTGACAGAATTATCATGGGCGGCAACGGCTATTTTAACCCTAAAGTGAGAGACTACAAATTCTAGCGAAATTGAGCTTCATAACACTCTCTGCACTGACTTCGATATTTAATGACTCAGGCGATTGGTTGTGCACGAACGAATTTTAAGTTTAGTTTTTGATGCTGGATAATCGATGTAAATTAATATTTTTAATGAACATCGAGACTATCGGAGAACAACCAGAATGAAATGAATGTTATGATCAAGAATTTAAAATTAAGATAGACGAGTCACTTACAGCATGCAGTCATATGTACAGAATGTCGAATGATCATGTATTTCATAAAATTCGGCTTTTTCATACCATATTTCGTTTAACAAACGAGTTTCCTTTGGAAATTATTAGTGATTCCTTAGTACTTTTGATGCGCAAATGAATTTTACGCCAGATTTCTGTCACAAACTGCGGCAGTTTGTTAAAGCCTCCTTCTTTACATAGTTATCGATTCGATGAATTCGAATATTTTGAAGATTAGCGCGATGGATGTGATAATAAAACCAAATGAAACTCTCTCTCGTTGATATAAACCACTTAGGGCATGGCATGGTTGTGTATTATATTGGTTCCAGATGTGTTATTTCGTGGAAGTTTTGGTGGGCAACGCCTCGATTGTGGACTTCGGCGCCGGACTCGGCAAGTACGGCATGTGTTTCCTGCGTAAAAGTCAAGCTGAATATCGACTGGACGATAAACAACAAAAGGAATACATCGCTGACTTAAATAACGATCTTCACGACATTCAAAAGAAGCCTCAAATTGTGTTTTCATGGCATTGTCCGTATATATTAATTTTAAAGCTGTTTTAATGCAGATTATGTTAAAACCTTTCAATTTATTATTTCCAATTAGTATTAGGTGGTAGAAAAAAGAATCACATAATAAATAAGACTTTGAATTCTAGTGGCTGAGCTATTTTTCTCTAATGAAGGCTATGACGGGGGCTTCGCCATCGAGGAGGTGAGCGGCGGCTTCATCGCGCACGCCGACCTCAGCGAGGAGGGCCTCTGGCTCGGCAGGAAGTGGGACTGGGTGAGGAGCACCGAGGTTGGGGAGCACATCGATCCTAAACATGAAGGCCATTTCCTCGATAGCCTCGTGCGGCATGCCTGTGCAGGTAATACAATAGCCGCATGTGTCGGCTATTTTATTACAGGTTACGTCACAAATTAGTAATTTGTGACGTTTCCTCTTAATGAACAATAAAATACTTGCGTATGGGGGCTATTGTATTACCTGCACATGCATGCCGCACGAGGTTATCGAGGAAATGGCCTTCATGTTTAGGATCGATGTGCTCCCCAACCTCGATGCTCATCACCCAGTCCCACTTCCTGCCGAGCCAGAGGCCCTCCTCGCTGAGGTCGGCGTGCGCGATGAAGCCGCCGCTCACCTCCTCGATGGCGAAGCCCCCGTCATAGCCTTCATTAGAGAAAAATAGCTTTGACACTGGAATTCACAGTCTTATTTATGATGTGATTTTTTTTACCAGCTCATAATAATTGGAAGTAATAAATTTAAAGGTTTATCGTACGCTGCATTAAAAAAGCAAGAAAATTTATATATACGGACCATGCCATGAATATACAATTTGAGGCTTCTTTTGAATGTCATGAAGATCGTTCTTTATGTCGGCGATGTATTCCTTTTGTTGTTTATCGTCCAGTCGATATTCAGCTTGACTTTTACGCAGGAAACACATGCCGTACTGGCCGAGACCGGCACCGAAGTCCACAATCGAGGCGTTGCCCACCAAAACTCCCACGAAATAACACATCTAGAACGAATAAAATACACATTCAAAGCCTTAACTGGTTTCTCTCGATGCAAAAAAGGTTTGATTTTATTTTATTATCACATCCGTCGAGCTAATCTTTGAAATATTCAATTTCATCGAACCGACAACTATGTAAAGACGGAGCCTTTGACAAACTGCGGCGGTTTGCTTCAGAAATGTGGCGTAAAATTCATTTGTGCGTCAAAATAACTCGCCTACTCGCACGCTGCTCAGGCCGTCCCGGGCGATGGCCTGATGTGCTTTTATAAGCACATAAAAGCAACGACCGAGCCTTCCAGCAACGACCGAGCCTATGAGCCAGCGTATAGCGTATTCCAGCGTATAGCCCTCCAAACCCGACTCCAGGCGTCGCGGTTCGTTTCCGGCTACAGAGGCAAAGGGCCAGTCTGAGGTCAGATAGCAGTGGTAAAAATTCACTTGATTGGGCTCGGTATCAGCGGCATTTCCATTGGAGCTAATCGGATGACATTGAACGGACTAAGATTGCTAATGCGCATGTCTGTGAAGTGTTTCATATAAAGCATTGCAACAAATTGCCAATGAGGTCATTCAAGACTGAATTCATCTAAGTACTATATGGATGCACTCTGATATTATGAATAATGACGAATAGGAAATGTCGACCATATAATTCGAAAATAAACTTTCCGGATAATTTGAAGTTCTTACGCTTACCCTCCACCATACGGTGATTATACGCTGTTATCTATGTACGATCTTCCGTGTTATAGCGAATCACGAAAAAATTAAGATTTCCTTCTTTTTCTTAGGCTGCAGCTCAGGGACTGAGGACGGTCAGGGACTCAGGGAATAGAGCAAGTTTCTGCTATGTAAGAGTAGTTCCACCATAATTGGGTACGCGATAAGAAATTACCTCCTTGAGCACGATGTGTCATTAGAATTTTTCCCGTATCTCATGCAAGGCCTTGGTAGAATCAGAGAAATGACGGGATTCAGCATGAGAAAAATACTTTATTCTGTTCTGTCTTTAATTTACTCATTTTTCATTTCAATGTTCCTAGCTGCTTTATGTGCAAAACTATATTCGTTATCATAAAGGTGTCAATAATGGGTGTTAATTTAACATCGAACTTTTGCGATACAAGCTTTAGTCAATCAGATCGAATGCTCCCAGCAATCGAAAATTACTGACCTACAGATTCGCCGCAAAAATAATAGACCTTTCCGACTGAATCATACGTTTAATATTGGAAATCAAATTATATATGGGGATCAATAAAAAATATAGAAGTTAGCTAACATAGATTTTGTGTTCATCAATAACATGTTCCTTAAGAGTCCACGTAAGAAATTTAGAAAATATATATATATATATTAGTGTAGTTAGGCAGAAGTTCTTCATTTATACAGGTTTGATTGAAGACCAAAGCGTACTTTTTATTGACAATTTTCTTATTGTTTTTTTCCATTGAGCCGAACGAATTTTCTTGCAGGTGCTTGGAGATCAAAAAGCAGATTACCAAATGACATTTTACTGGAATGCGACGAATATATCAATCGAATATATCAATATTCATTATCAAGCAAGTGAACAGTTATTACAACGCTAAAAATTGAAATTTGGACATGACATAAGTTCATACAGAAAGTCCTTCATACTGGCCGATGTGACTTGATCGGCCAGTGACTCAAAACCTGACACAAAACCTGTACATCGGCCAGTGACTTGAGAACTGAACTCCAGACCTGCAAGCAAATTCTGGTAAACAACGGCTATGCGAATAAAACTATCGACAACGAAATCTTAAACTATCGAGCACGACAAAACCAAACGGAAAATGAACCAACATCAGACGAAAGTATTATAACAATTTATTAACAAAATCAGATGACTGAAGGCCACAAGACTGACGAAAGAGTCCTCAAATCAATCGTGCTGAATAACATCAGAAGCACGACCGCAGCCGACCGAATCAAACTCCTGATTTACTATAAAAATATGAAAATCAAGAATTTAATAATGAAAAATATTCCGTGCAAAAAGTCGGGCTCATTACAACAAACTAATGTTATTCACAAATATTCCTGCCACAAAGAAGGTTGTAGACTTCTCCAGAACGTAAATTACATTGGCTTGACCAGCACGACTTTGAGCCGCCGCCTAACATGCCACCTCCAGACCGGAGGACCGAAGAACCACATGAGAGACTCTCATAATGAGACACTCACTCGCGCGACGTTGGAGACCCACACCAGAATCATCATGAGATGCCCAGACGCCACAAGACTGGCGATAGCTGAGGCTCTCATCATCAAGCATGAGTCTCCAGCTATTAATTTGCAAACTACCGGATTTGTCAGGACGTTGAAACTGTTCTCGTAATTTAAGCTTTGATTCCAATCTGTATCCATAATACCTATGTTTGTACTAATGTCATTTCAAAATTTCAAATTCAGTTGTTGCGAAACTCTTCCTATGCTTGATAATGAATGAAGTTGCATTCGAAACGTCGTAAAATTATAATAAAATGTCCATTGGAAACCTGATATTGATTGAAGACCAGAGCGTGCTTTTTATTTACAATCTTCTTGTTCGTCTTTTCAATGAGTCGAACCAAATTTCTAGCTGGAGCCGGGAGATCGAAAAGCAGGTTTCCAAATGACATTTTAATAGATTGCGACGATTCGAAAATACAATTTTCATTATCAAGCTGGTGAAGGTTTTACAACATCTGAAATTGAATTTGAAATGACAGAAGTACATATCAAAGGTAAAGTGGATACAATACGAAATATTAGCTTAAAAATTACTCCGAAAATAATTTCAGCGTTCGGACGAATCCAGTAGTTTGGAGGTTGATAGCCGGAGACTCGCTCTTGATAATGAGGGCCTCAGCTATCGTCAATCTCGATGGGTCGGGGCACCGCATAACTATGCTGGTGCAGGCTTCCAATGTCGCTCGGGTGATGGTCTCATTGTGAGCCTCCCGCATGTGGTTCTTAGGTCCTCCAGATTGTAGGTGGCATGTGAGTCGTCGGCTCAAGGTCGTACTTGTAAGTCCAATGTAGTTCATGTTTGGAAGAAGTCTACAACCTTCTTTATTACATGAGAATTTATAAACCACATTAGTTTCTTGAAGCAGACCAGTTCTTTATTACATGAGAATTTATAAACCACATTAGTTTCTTGAAGCAGACCAGTTATTTTACAGGGATTATTATTCATTACAAGGTTTTTTATTTTCTTATTTTTGTAGTAGATTCGGGCATAGCCCGAAACGTTCTGTTTTATTTATCTAGGACTTTTATTCAGTAAAGTGTTTTATGCAACTTTTTTGATTTTAGCCTTTATTCTTAAACTGAGAAAAAAATAAATAAACAAGACGAAATAAAAAACTGAAAATCAAACCTGGTACGAGTTAGAGTTCAAATCAAAAAGCAGAAAATGTTCAACAGCTGAAGAAACAATCTCTCAGCTTTTAACGGTTTGTCTCCTGAAGATTTTTTTCAAATTCCTAATGATTTAATCAAATATTGAGTCCTGATTACAATTTTACAAATATTGATTCCTAAATATTGAGTCCTGACAAACTATAAACTCCAATAGCAATAAAAACAAAACCACAAGCCTAATTGCTGCTGGACTACCCGGCCAAAGGTGAAGCTGCTGTTATGGAAATGTGTTAGTTTAATTTACAGTTCATGTCAATTAATAGTTTGTTTTGAAAAGCAATCTTATTTAAGTTGCGATGCAAAGATTCCGATTAGACACGTCATTCGTAAAATCAGAATAGCATTTCTTCAAGGTAGAAACAAAAAAAAATTAAACGATTTTTTAGCAGGTAATTGCATCATTCAATCGATGAAACATGACAGTTCAATTCCACGAATTTTAATTCTAAACTTATGCCTTCAACTTCTCCCACTGCGCATGCTCCTTCACACACGACCCTGAAGTGATCAAACGCTTAGGCGCAAAGAACTTGTGCGGTCTGGATTTGATTTTCTTACTAAATGGCCAGAGGAACTAACTTGACCTCTCGTAATTAATTTGAAATATTTTCCTTCTCGTTGTCAGCATGTGAAGACCGAGAAACCCTGAGAATTAATCCACGATGATGTTTGTTCATTTGGGATAATGATCGAAAAATGCATCTGAACTGCTCGAGTGGTCACTGCTTTTGAAGTCATTTTTCCTTGCTTTCCATTGGCAAAACTTTGAATGGCTACGATGAATGATTGTTTGTAAAGCATTGCAAGTGAAAATCGTAATCGTCAAAGTACAATTATTTTTAAAACTATATATGTGGAACAATTATGAAACCACAACACATGCAGTAAATGACACTATAGCATTTTGATATTCTCGATACTATGAATTATGTCATACAAATACTGGATCAGAGTAAAGAAGAAGTTCGAATCACTCCAAAAAATATACCCAAAAATATATTTGTTTGCCAGTCAGAATAATTATTGTAGTAAATTTGAAAATAAAATGAGAAACTTTCGTTTCCATATCAGGGGCTCAAATACCTTCGAACACTCAAGATAATACAAAATAAAAATCAAGCAATTAATCAAAATTACTGTATTACTCTTCGAACTATTCACAAGGTTGTGTCTGGGGCGGATTATCTTTCATTATGAAACTGCCGCAAAAAATTCGCTCCAAATATCATACAAAACTTCACCTGTCGAAAATAATTCATCACGTTATAACTAGAAGAGTATGCGGGTTATAGGTATTTATAAATCTTTTTTATGATTATTTAATGTAAATTATAATTAATGAATGTTACACATTGAGGCATATAGCTACGTGATTGACTTTGAGATGTAGGGCGGATGAAAGATAACAGGCATTTATGAAAGATAATAGATTTGCGTGATATTTTTTGCGTAAAATGTTTTAACTTGTGACAGGAAGTCAAATGCAGACTGATGTCAGCGTACTCCGGAATAACTCACAGATACAATGCTGAATATTATTTGAAACAATGAAATGCAGGATTCTC